GCTCTTCCGATCTCCCCAAAACCCCAAAACCCCAAAACCCCTTGCTCTAGATAAAGTAAAAAATAGTTTAATAAGCTTTTAAATAATTGCTAAAATAAAGAGATTAGCAATCCCACAGAGGATGGGCATGAGAAATCGAGATGTTCAGAGATATTTGTCGTGAGGTGGTCTTTTCTCATATTCAATGTACGTTTCCTATGGCCAGTTGATACCTCTGTCTGAAAGCTCTTGAGTCTAAATGACATCTCTACCAGCATCCATCTTTCTGCTGCCTCTCCAGTGCCAGTTCAATCTTCTAACATACTTAAGTCTAGCGATTTCCTCATCAGTCAAGTTGGTGATAATTTTCAGCATTTTTCCTCCATTACCATCATAACCGAAGACTTCGTGATAGGTGAGCATTCTCTTGTATACAACTTGTTGCATGAACAAGGTGCCTACTAAAAAGCTTCCAAGAATCCACTTGGCTTATTTAGCGTTTGATAAGATCACCTTTTCTACCATTTAATTAATTATAATTATTATTTATAATTCAACTTTATACTCATCTTCTCTAAAATAAGAAACATAGTTACAGTATTAGCTATGCCAACATCCAGTCAAAAAACTCAAGGTTCAATCTAAAAGTTGCATATAATAGCAAAAAGAGAAATTTTTAAAGCGAGACAGTTTAATTATAAGGATGAGAAATAGGCTTAGATTAAATTAAAATAATTTGTTCATCATTGGGGTTTTTTCTTACTATCTACTTTCATTTGATTCATGGCTTCCTAAAGCTCTCTTTGGAAGTTTAGCTTCTCCTCTTTAGTCATATACTCTTCCCTTAGTCTGCCAGTATTGATGATCTACTTAGTTTTGTTTATATAAATACCGTCCATCTCAGTTCTTATCTCAGTCTCGTTTGCTTCAATCAATTTACCGATGTTTGCAATATGGAATTCATCTCCACTTTTGGCATCTAAGTTGTAGGTTTCCTCTTTCTGTATCATAATGATAAGATGATAAATTCTTACAGATCTTGAGAGATTTCCAGCTATTTCTAAATTTCCATAAACAGGATTATTGCTAAGCATTTTAAGAAATACTGTGGATACAACTCTATATCTTGCCTTTTTCTCCTCAAGAGCTACTGTCACAATATGTATTGAATCCCAGCTACCTTCTTTAATTCCCTTTGACTCCTCGATTCCTTATATATTTTAAATTCTTTTATACTTTACCTTTCTTCACCAAGAAGCATGCTCCAAAGCCAATTTCAGTGTCAAAGAAATAAACGCTGGTTTAGGCTTAATCAAAATACAATTGTGCATATCTTTGAAAGACATCATTAGCTTTTTGCTCCATTCCAAGGATTTCGTTAGAGGGATAGACTGCATCATCTGATCTAGGAGGGAAATATTTATTAGACCAGGGAGATCTGTAGGAATCCCCATCACGATTGTACTCACACTTCAAGTAGTATTGATTAGCAACTGTATCAAATTCACTCTCTATTATAGTAAAATTATTATCTCTATCGGAAAATTGTTTTCATACCTAGTGGTTGATCTATTTTTTGAATGACTTCGTATCTAAGGTCCTCATTTTGAATCAAAGCAGCTAATCCGGCTACGTTTTTCTTAATATCGTTCGGAGACAATCTTCTCATCAAATTGAAACAAGAATTGAGAACAGTGGTGTTAGATTCCATTTCTATATATTCTGATTATATAATTGCATAATTATAAGTAAAATCTTTTATTATTATGGATTGAACAAAGGAAGCTGCAAGGGGTTTTGGGGTTTTGGGGTTTTGGGG